ATACGCTGCGCGTGAGGCTCTCGGCGGATCTTACACTGGAGGATCTCAAGGAGCGAACCGAGCACAAACGCATCAATCTGCGTTATTTGTCCGATGGCACAGTGGGCGTGGCTCTGGATGAGACGGTTAGTGTAGCAGATGTGAACGATTTGTTGTGGACCTTTAAGGCACCAACAACGGTGGCAGAGCTGCTGGCGCGCAAGGACGTGCTTAAAAACTCCATTGAAAACTCCAAGTTTCTGCGTACATCGCCTTTCCTGCAGCATCCCATTTTCAACAGCTATCACAGGTAACGTCTGGTTTCCAAGCCAGGCTCAAAGCTTGACGATTTACAGCGTAACAGATAATTTCCCCTTAGCGAGTCCCGCATGGTGCGGTATATGAAGAAACTGGAGAACAAGGACATTTCACTGGTGCACTCCATGATACCACTGGGCTCCTGCACCATGAAGCTGAACTCAACGACCGAGATGATACCCTGCTCGTTTCGCCATTTTACAGACATCCATCCCTTTGCGCCCGTTGAGCAGGCTCAGGGTTTTCATCAAATGTTCAAGGAGCTGGAGAAGGATCTGTGTGAAATCACCGGCTATGATAATATATCTTTTCAACCTAACTCTGGCGCTCAGGGCGAGTACGCTGGCTTGCGTGCTATTAGAAGCTACCATGAGCACCGCAACGAAGGCCATCGCAACATCTGCCTGATTCCTGTTTCGGCGCACGGCACGAATCCAGCTTCTGCTCAAATGGCCGGCATGAAGGTAACTCCGCGCCTGCTTACCAATTAGAATTTATGAATAGAGCCCATTTACTATCTTTCACAGGTGGAGCCAATACGCATCCTCTCAAACGGCTCCATTGACATGGCGCATCTGCGCGATAAGGTAGAGGAGCACGCCCACGAGCTGTCCTGCCTGATGATTACGTATCCTTCCACCATGGGAGTTTTTGAAGAAACAGTTGCGGACATCTGCACATTGGTGCACAAGCATGGTGGTCAGGTGTATCTAGACGGAGCCAACATGAACGCCCAGGTGGGTCTGTGTCGGCCAGGCGACTATGGCAGCGACGTGTCCCATCTGAATCTGCACAAGACTTTCTGCATTCCACATGGCGGTGGAGGTCCTGGTATGGGCCCAATCGGTGTCAAAGCACACTTGGCACCGTATTTGCCTGGACACCCTGTCATCAGTCCACTAAGCAGCGAGGAGCTCAGCTTTGGTGTCGTTTCCGCAGCGCCCTTTGGCAGCTCGGCAATACTCCCTATCTCATGGTCGTACATAAAGCTCATGGGTAGTCGTGGCTTGAAGAGAGCCACTCAAGTTGCTATTCTTAACGCAAACTACATGTCCAAGCGCTTGGAAGAGCACTACAAAACACTCTACAAGGCGGAGAACTCACAGCTGGTGGCCCATGAGTTTATACTCGACATACGAGATCTTAAAAAGTCGGCCAACATTGAGGCAGTCGATGTGGCTAAGCGGCTAATGGACTATGGTTTCCATGCCCCGACTATGTCGTGGCCCGTGGCCGGCACCCTGATGATCGAGCCAACTGAGTCCGAGGACAAGGAGGAGTTGGATCGTTTTTGCGACGCCATGATATCCATACGTGAAGAGATTACCGAAATTGAGGAAGGACGCATGGACAAAACCGTCAATCCGCTCAAAATGGCACCGCACACACAGGCCCAGGTCATTTCGGACAAATGGAACCGCCCCTACACACGTGAGCAGGCTGCCTTTCCAGCTGTAAGTGTACATAAGCACATAACACAATATATTTTCAAACATAACTGACTTTACTGATATTAATTATCCTTCAGTTGTTTGTGAAGCCCGACGCAAAAATTTGGCCTACTGTTGGTAGAATCGACGATGCCTACGGCGACAAACATTTGGTATGCACGTGTCCACCCATCCTGCCAGACCTGTAATCAAATTGAAAAGAATCTACCTTAATTAGGAAATAAACTTGTATAAATGCTAACGGCCTATTACCCGGCTTTACCCAGGCAATGTTTTTTCCTTCATATATATACATATAGCTTAGAATGTTTTTGTACTGACGCCTTATTGCCAAATGATTGTTCCCATTTAATAAAAAAATCGACCCGGAACAAGCTTAAAAACAACATTGCATACAAAGAGGCAGTCTGATATGGCTATATCGACTCGGGTATTGTTGCTGTTCAAGAATACATACAATATATATATTTCGAAGTGCTTCACATTGCGTGACAATATTGTAATATCCTCTGCAAAAGTATGTTCAAGTGGATCAAATGAAAGAAAGCGGGTGAAATTGAAAATTGGTAAAAAAATCTGCAATCAATTTTTTTTATATAAATTTAAGGCCAATCTGACTAAATATAAACACCAACTTATCACAGAAAACGAATTGGCAAATGTAGACGAATCTATTAAGGAAAAACGAGTCTAGACATTGCCGCAGTTTAATGTTTTTAAATTTAAGAATATATCGGTAAGATCTTTAAGAAACCACAGTATTTCAGAATAATTTGTTGCTTTTCGCATTTCCAACGAACCCATTTTTGAAAAGTAAAAACGATATTCAAGGGCGCGCTCAACTGGTTGCTTCTTCTTTACAGAAACATTCGCAACGAGCGGCGCAATAGCTGATTACGACAAGCCAATGCTAGATATTCGATATATATCGCTGCTTGGCTCCAGTTCTGTTAACATATGAGATATGCAAGCGGTTAGCCGCTGATAAATTTATTCACAACAAATTGATGATAATTAAAAGCACAGTTCGTCAAAAAACCACATTCTAATAAAATAATTTGAAAATAATTCACGCTGAAAAACGATTACCGGCAGCTTTGACACAAGATTCTGGGCACGCTGTTAATAACATTTGAGAGAATGTTAGGCTGTTAGATGCCGACAACAACATATGTTGTTGTGTTGGTGACAGAAAAAGAAGCGTGCGCAGCGGAAAACAAAATTCATTTTATAGAATTTGTTTAATCAATAAATAATATTAATTTGCTTTTGCATCGACAACGGTACGACAGCTACTTAGGGTTTTCAAATCTTTATTGAAATCATGAAAATCGAAGAAGTAAAGAGTACTGTGCGTACCCAACGCATAGCGGCGCACAGCCACGTGAAAGGACTCGGTCTGGACGAGACCGGGGCAGCCATACAGAGCGCCGCTGGCCTGGTTGGCCAGAAGGCAGCCCGCGAGGCTGCCGGCATTGTGGTTGATCTAATCAAATCTAAAAAAATGGCCGGCCGTGCCCTGCTCTTAGCTGGCCCACCCGGCACCGGCAAGACAGCCATCGCTTTGGCTATAGCACAGGAGTTGGGTAACAAGGTTCCGTTTTGCCCGATGGTCGGCTCCGAAGTATTTAGCAATGAGATCAAGAAGACCGAAGTGCTCATGGAGAATTTCCGGCGCTCCATTGGGCTGCGCATACGCGAGACCAAAGAAGTATACGAAGGAGAAGTAACCGAGCTGACACCAGTAGAGACTGAGAATCCTATGGGTGGTTACGGGAAGACCATTAGCAACGTGGTTATTGGCCTCAAAACCGCCAAGGGCACCAAGCAGCTGAAGCTCGATCCAAGCATTTTCGATGCACTGCAAAAGGAGAAGGTCGAGGTGGGCGATGTCATCTACATTGAGGCCAACAGTGGCGCCGTAAAGCGTCAGGGACGCAGCGACACCTTTGCCACAGAGTTCGATTTGGAGACGGAGGAGTATGTGCCACTGCCCAAGGGCGATGTGCACAAGAAGAAGGAAGTCATACAGGATGTCACTCTCCATGATCTAGATGTAGCCAATGCACGCCCCCAGGGCGGCCAAGATGTGCTCTCCATGATGGGCCAGCTGATGAAGCCCAAGAAAACCGAAATCACAGGTAAATTTGCCGAAGTCTGCAATTCCCTGAGCCTGATAACTAACTGTTGCTACTCACAGACAAGCTGCGCATGGAGATTAACAAAGTGGTTAACAAATACATTGATCAGGGCATTGCTGAGCTAGTGCCTGGCGTACTGTTCATTGATGAGATACACATGCTCGATCTGGAGACATTCACCTATCTGCACAAATCTCTGGAGTCGCCGATTGCGCCCATTGTCATATTTGCCACCAATCGAGGACGCTGCGTTATTCGGTGAGCCTTGTGAACGCTTTTTGTCGTCGTTTCGACAGATTTATAACCATTTTTCTGCTCTCCTGCAGTGGCACCACCGATATAGTCTCACCGCACGGTATTCCTTTGGATCTGCTCGATCGTTTGCTCATCATACGCACGCTTCTGTATTCCACCTCGGACATGGAGCAGATAATCAAATTGCGTGCCCAGACCGAAGGCCTCCAGCTGGAGGAGAATGCGTTTTCGCGTCTCAGCGAGATTGGCACAAGCTCAACTCTACGCTATGCCGTGCAGCTACTGACACCGGCTCACCAGATGTGCAAGGTAAATGGGCGCAATCAGATTTCTAAGGAGGATATTGAGGACGTGCATTCGCTGTTCTTAGACGCAAAGCGCTCCTCGAAGCATCTATCTGAAAAGAATAACAAGTTTATGTTGTAAGTTGACTTATCTCATGTAAAATACAATTCCATATGCTCCATTCTACGAATAAAGCTGCAGAACTATCGAGTTTATAAGGTTTAAATCTATCGATATGCTATGTTGAAAAACAGCAGCTGTGTTACTCTCAGAGCGACAGCTGTTACTGTACATTGGACTCGAACTAGAGATGGCAGTTATGTAGCGCGTATGCGTTTTCAATTAAACTGGTGCTATTAATAAGCAATAAAACTGTTTCCAACTACGTTATTTATTTAACAACGACACCTTAAACCAAAAGAAACATTTTGTGTTAACATTGTATTTCGACTCATTTGGCGTAACGTTTTAGAGTCGTATTTGTCTATCGTGTCAATTCTTGTCACGAGCGCATCCCTTCTCTGTTATCAAACTTCTCTTATAAGAAACATTTAACAGAGTTTTTTTCTTAGTAACATTTTATATTTCGGTGCGTGCTCTGTGCTCCGCATGCCGCTTTGCTGTTGTGTATTTTTAAATAATTTAAAATATTCATATTCGTGTCAATACAACACGGTCACGCAATTCAAGCACACATACACACGGGTAAATCATAATTAAGTGTCAAATTGTTGTTAAAATAATAATAAAAAAAATTAAAGAAATCAGTTGGCGACAAAAACGCCGCCTCTAAAAGCGCAATTAACCGTTAAAGTTATTTACACGTTACATATTTACATTCATGCGTGCTTACGCGTACGTACATGCTTGTGTGTAAACGCATTATATTTTGTATACCGCCTTCGCTATAACAATTGCCTATGATTATTTGTGTACCAATCAAACGGTGCATTGTGTTTTGGTGCCAGTCAAACCATTTCCGATGGCTGCATTTTAAGAAAATGGAAACATTTGGCGGCCTTTGGGTCAACGAGCAGCTGCAACAACTACTACAAAACGACGGCAGCTAGAAGATACCGCGTGTGTGTGAGCGCGCAACAAGAACAACAACAGCGAACATCAACAACAAATAGCAGACGGTAAGTGCGTGTGCACGTGTGCGTGCGAATGCCAGTGGGTGTATTTTCTCTCATTCGTGTTTGTGTGTGTATGTGTGTGTTTACGGCTGTGTGAGTGGGGGCCTCGCCTCTCAAGCAGCAAATTAGCAATAGCCTTACCCGCCGACCGTCTACGGGTACTGTGTGTTACTGTCCCTGTGTGTGTTAGTGTGTGTGCGTGGGTGCACGTTATACTTTTTATTTTTTTGGCATTAACTGTTATTATTATTTAAGCAGCACGCTAGCAAATTACATAATTTCTTTGTATTTTTTTTTTGTGTTTGTCGCTGACAGCGAAAATGAAAGTGCTGGGCGGCTACTGGTTTTTGTTTTCTCGCTCTTTGCTGTTTGTTGTTGCCTCGTCTTCATTCTTATTGGAATTCTACGCTAGTTTCACCGCTTGCTTTGTTCGCCTCGTACACTTTGATGTTTTTGTTGCTGTGCGAAGCGCGCTGTTTCTTTATGAATGAGATTATTAAAATTAATTGCAAGCATACGCTTTGATTTGATTTGTGCGTAAAAGCTAATCAGTTGAGCAAGCCGCTCGCCAATTAATCTCTCTCACTCTAACACTTCTGTATATGTTTGTATGCATGCACATACAAATGCAAGCCAGCGCAACTGGCTTTGTGTCTTTTCGCCGTAAATCAAATCAACCATTGCGAAAAATATAATAAATATAAATATGTATATTCATGTATACGTTTTCGCGTTCCCATCTGCGCTTTCGACTTCAAACTCAAAATCATTACATATGTATGTGTGTATGTATGTATATGTGTATATATAATTTTAAGACGAAAATTTAGCTGAAATATTTAAACACATTTTTATACATACATGTGTGTATGTATGTATATATGTATGCCGCCGGCAACGACGACGTCGACAACGTCGCCCACTCGCTGATATCGCTCTCCCACTTTGGCGCGCTCTCTCACTCTCTCTCTCTCTCTCTCTCTGTCAGTTTCGTTTGTTGCCCAATTTTATGCCCGTTTTCTTTTCTTCAAACATTTTGACCACAGCTAAGTGTCCAATACATATGAATGTATGCATGTATGTACTACATACGTTTCGTACGTAAATCGAAATGTACATATGTATGTATGTAAGTACGCGTATACATATTATGTACGCATGTGCAAACAGCTTGTGCGTTGACGTTGTTGAACAACTGTTACAATAACAAAGTGCCAGCAGCTTTTCGCCGTATTTATTAGTTGGCTGTATTTTCGCCCGACAGGCAATAAAACGAATTTATGTCGCTTTAGCCTTACGCTACCATTTACTTGCAATTAGTTGTTAGTGTTTAGTTTTTCCTGAGCAGTGCACAGTGTTGTTATTGTTGTTTATTGCGCCAAGCAGCTACTTACTGTCACAGTTTTAAATATGTGTTTATTGTTCGCTGCTGTGTCAGTTTTTCTTTCCTTTTCGCACAACTTGTCATATGAATATACGTACATATGTATATATATCTGCATGTATGTATGTATGTATGTTCATAGTCTTGTGAAACCGTGCTGCATAATTGTGTGCCCTTCAAAAGGCTTCTCTGTGGCCACGGCAAAACAGTTAGCTGTACAATTCTTGGTTGGCGTATTGCACATAACATTACTAAAAAACATTTGTTTGTTGTGCTAGCAGGCAAGCAAACAATAGCGACAGCTGCGGCGGCGCCGACTGCGACAAGTCTATTGTGAATGAGCTACTAGCAGCAGCAGTGCCAACAGCAGCCTTGTAAGCGCCACCCACACAAAAGTCATAGCTGCCACACAAAAATTTGTAAAGCACTAGCCTCAAGATACCCCAACCCAACACACAAGTGCAATGATTGTGTGCATTCAAAAGAAGACACACATATGTATGTACATACACACACAGACACAAAATACATATGTGTTTGTCTCGCTCACACGCCATGACGTGAGCGACAGCTGCCAGCATCGCTGTCTCTGTGCCTACGCTAACACTTTTAAAGTCGGGCTTCAAAAGCGTCATACGCTCAGCTGAGCGCGGTTCGCTCATTCGCCGCGTCTCTTATTCTCTAGTCGCTGCTTTATGACGTTTTTGCAGCCACTTCGCTGCTTCGTGCTTTGTGCACGTGTGAGTTCATCTCTCTTTTCATTTTGAGTATTTGAGCTCTATTTCTTAACGCCTTATTAAGAGCAGAGGCTTTGAGTCATTCACTGCCTACGCTGTGACTAACTGTAAATCTGGCACATTGAAATCCAGCTTGAAATTCAATTTCATATTAATTTCAGTGCAGTTCGAGTCGCTCATAAAAAAGACGATGAAGAAGAAGCACGGCAGCGACCGCATAAACTTTGGCGTTTGCAACGTGGGCGGCTGCCTTTTCTTTGTAACCTTGTGCCAATAAAATTGAAATGCAGCCAGAGACCCAACAAAAACAGAAAACAATTTCTGTGTTTAAATGTGTATATTGGTGTGTGTGTGTGTGTGGGTGGGTGAGTAAACTTTCTACTTGCAACTTTGTTATTGTGTTTCTTGCATTTGTCGCCTCTCTGTTGTACTTTGTGCAATAACTGTCAAGCAAAAAGCAAGGAGCTGCACAACCAACTCGGCCAGCGTGCTAAATGGGCCAACATGTCTGAATGTTGCTTAGCTTTTGGCTAGACAAATGGTTACGCATGAGCTAAGTGTCGATCTAAGCGCTAGATGGCGCCAGTCGATGCATGCAACACGTTTTCAATTAATTTAGCTATGCTCTCTGCAGGCAACAAGCATTTATCTCACCTTTACTATTGAAGGTAATTATGTGTGTGTGTGTGTGTGTGTGTGTGTGTGTAGGCGGCTGTTGACGAGTCGGCTCTTGATGAGTGGGCTGTTAACAGCGCGCTGACTCAATACACACATATGCTTACTAAAACAGACACAGACTACCAACGGCATATTGTATATGTACCTTGTATGTGTGTGGATGTACATATGTATTTAAGTATGTATATACGTGCCGATAAGGTGCTAAATATTTGCACGCAACGATATGCGCTGAGCACCTGGCTCTCTCTCTCTCGCTTTCTCTCTCTCTCTCTTTATCTCTCGCGCTGTTTCGCTTGCTCGTACTAAATGGATGCATTCTTTTAACTGTGACGCTTCTACTGCCTCAACGTCTATGCTTATCAATATTATTTCCACTCTGTCGTACCGGCGACTCAATTTACTTGCATACGGGAATACATGCATACATGTGTAGGTACTTACTTACTGCCGCACCTTCATTAACAGCAAGAAAGGTAAAGCGCGAAGAGGAGCAGCACGGCAAATTGCATGATTCATTCGCTTGGCATTTAGCGTCGGCGTCGGCGTCAGCGTCGGCGTCAGCGTCGGCGTCAGCATCGGCGTTCGCGAAGGCGTCACTGCCAGCGCTGTGGGGTGGTCTGGTCGTTGGTTTGCCGGCTGCTTTGCTTGTTAATTTTAATTGATTTTAATTTGATTTGCTTTACGAGCAAGTGAATTTTGTTAGCCCGTCATCATCAGTGCGAACTTGTCCGACTGTTAGACCAATAAGAAGCGGAAAAGAAAAACTTTTTGTTGGTTTCGGACTGGCTACAGCTAGATGGCTGGCTGACCCACTTCCCCAGCCACTTCCACTTTGACGACTCTCTGCAAATAGACAATGTTGCCGAGTAAATATTCTATTTTAACAATGCAACAGAAAACACTGAAGCACGCTACTCTTAACTCATTCGTCCACACACGAGCACACACACATGCATACCGACACAAAGGCGCTACAAAGTGCTTCGCCAGCTCTCCAGAGATTCCCAACCTGAGTGCACCTGGCTGTATTCTGCTGGTTTCCTGTAATACTCGAGCGAAGCCTCTGAGTAGCTGAAACTGCCACTGAGCTGGGCTTAATGAAATCCGCAAGTTAAATAAAACCGAGCCACATTTTTGATGCCTTTCCCGTCAGTCACTCAAGCTGAAGGCTGTGAGAGATGTGGCAAATGTGTAGAGTCCAAGCAAACGCCTTCGACAAGCTTTTCCAGTCGTATTTGTTGTTGCTGCTTTTATTGTTGTGGAGCCATAAAGCTCAAGGAGATTGTAGCATTTATTTAAACTGGTCGCTTCAATGCATTTTTATGCGTATTACCAAGAAAAACGGAAAATTGCTTTAGTTTCATTTGAAAATTGCTTGGGTAGTTTACTTAAGCACTGAAAAGCATTTATTCTAAAATGTTGAATAGCACCAGTCGAAGCATGGGCTCCCATGCCAGCTAGAGGATTAGCTCTTTAATTGGTATGGGGTAAGCGGGTAATTGCTTCTTATTGGCTATTTCTAGTAAGGTGTTTGTAAACTGGGTTAGAACCCCGTCGGGGTAGGTTAGTTGGCAAAATTTCCTGATGAGCAATAAAGTTTTTCACACAAAGCCCATTAAAGGCTGTAAAATAAAATACAATTTACATTCAAGTAGCCGAATAAAACTATAAAACCATTAAAAAAGTATTCATTTGCTTAATTTTTAATTTATAAGAGAAAGTACATATCTAAAATATAGTATATATTTACAAAATGTATTTAAGAGAAATTTATACCGTTCGGTAAATCCACCACGTCTAGGTGGAAAACAAGAAGTGTGCCTGAGGGAAGGTGATTGCGTCGTCCTGGAGGTAGCTGGGCGTGGATGTTGTCTATGTAGGGAGGAGGTGTCTGGGTAAAAGGGGCGGCCCCTTGAAAGTTGCTAGCATGCGTATTGGCGTGTGCGCCTAGCCAGTTGTTATATTGGGCACTGTGGAATTTCCACGCAGGGGATCTTTAGGTCTCTGCAGAGTACGCTGCCATTCTGCGCAGCATTGTACTTCGGAGGGAGAGGACTCATTTGCGATTATATAATGATGGATAAGCAAAGCCACAGATCTGTATTGCGTTTCGCCAAATAGTTGACACATTTTAAGGGTAAACTAACCGTTTACGGGCAAGGGAAAGTTTGCTACAGTGTTTAAGGAGCCATTATAGTTTG